CGGGTTTCACCAGAACTGGGGACGGCGCCTGGGGCGCTCCCTCAAGGGCGGGCCACCCTTACATGTATTTCAGGGTCGGCCCCGTCCTTTGACGGTTTAGTTTCCCAGGGGGGCGCATGGCACACACACGCCTTGCCTGGCACCTTTTGCACACCCACCTCTCGCACACCCAGCGCGCACACCCACCCGGCGCACACCCACCTCTGCGCTCAACCCACCTTCTGCGCTCACCCACCTCTGGCGCACACCCACCTTCTGCGCGCACGCCCAGGCCGGCAGCCACCCCCGGCGACGCCCACCTCTGCGCCCCCCCTCTGCGCACCGCACCTGCGCACGGGCCCACGGCCGCCGGCCGCAGGCGCCCCGCGCACACCCTGCCCCCCGGCACACCCGCCCCGCGAACACCCGCCGCCCTGCGGCTCACCCGCCCCTGCGCTCACCGGGCTCCTGCGCACACCCGGCCCTGGCGACACCCGGCCCCCTGCGCTCACCGCCCCTGGGCGCACACCCGCCCCTGCGCCGACACCGCCCCTGGCCTCACCCGCCCTGCGCTCACCCTCCCCTGCGGTCACCCCACCCCTGCCCCACACCCACCCCTGCGCTCACCGCCCTGCGCTCACCCGCCCTGCGACACCGCCCTGCGCACACCCGCCCTGCCGCGACCACCGCCTGCGCACACCCCCGCCCCTGCGCACACCCGCCCCCTGCCACACCCGCCCCTGGGCCCACAGCCGCCCCTGCGCACACCCGCCCTGCGCTCACCCGCCCTGCGCTCCACCCGTTCCCCGTGCGTCCCCACCCTGCCCACAACCACCCTCGCGCTCACCCACCCTGCGCTCACCCACCCCTGCGCAACACCTCGCGCACACCCACCCCTGCGCACACCCACCCCTGCGGCACACCCACCGCTGCCGCACCCCACCCTGCCGGCAACACCCACCCCTGCGCACACCCACTCTGCCCACCCCACCTGCCCACAGCGCCCCTGCGCCACGCCGCCCTGCGCACACCCGGCCCCTGCCACACCCGCCCCTGCGCTCACCCGGCCTGGCACACCCGCCCTGCGCACACCAACCTCTGGACACCATCTCTGCGCACAACCCACCCTGCCAAACCCGGCCCTGCGGCGTCACCCGCCCCTGGCGCTCACCAGCCGCTGGCGCACACCCGCCCTGCGGCTACCCGGGGCCCCTGCGCTCACCCGCCCCTGCCCACACCCGGCCCTGCGGCTCACCGGCCCCTGCGCCACACCCGGGCCCTGCGCACACCAACCTCTGCGCACACCATCTCTGCGGCACACCCACCCTGCCCACACCCACCCCTGGCGCTCACCACCTGGCGACTCACCCACCCTGCGCGACACCACCCTGCGGCTCACCCACCCCTGCCACACCCACCCTGCGCTCACCCACCCCTGCCCAACACCCTGCGCCTCACCCACCCCTGCCGCTCACCCACCTGCCCACACCCACCCCTGCCGCTCACCCACCCCTGCCGCGACACCCACCCTGCGCACACCCACCCCTGCCCGCACGACCCACCCCTGCGGCTCACCACCCCTGCGCTCACCGCGACCCTGCGCACACCCACCCCTGCGGCACACCACCCCTGCGCTCACCCACCCTGCGTCACCCACCCTGCCCACACCACCTGGCCACACCCACCCTGCCACACCCACCCTGCGCTCACCATTTCTTTAAAGTACATTTCTAGAAGTAAAATTGCTGGGTCGAAAAGTCATGTCTGAGGCCGGGCGCGGTGGCTCACGCCTGTAATCCTAGCACTATGAGAGGCCAAGGCGGGCGGATTGCTGGAGGTCAGGAGTTGGAAACCAGCCTGAACAAGAGCGAGACCCCATCTCTACCAAAAATAGAAAGAAATTAATTGACCAACTACAATATATATACACACAAAATTAGCCAGGCATGGTGGCGCATGCCTGTAGTCCTAGCTACTGTGGAGGCTGAGGCAGGAGGATCGCTTAGCCAGGAGATTGAGGTTGCTGTGAGCTAGGCTGGACGTCACGGCACTCACTCTAGCCTGGGCGAGAAAGTGAGACTCTGTCTCAAAAAAAAAAAAAAAAGAAAAAGAAAGAAAAGTCATGTCTGTTGCATGTCCTCCAAAAAGATGGTTCTAATTTGGGTAGGATTTTAAAAGATTTTTGTCAATTTTTAGTACTCAAGTAGAGAAATTTATAAGTGTACATATAAAAAAATAGAGACCACCCAGAATCCCACCTCCCTGAGAAAATCTCTGGTCGCATTGCAGTTTATGACCTTCCAGAATTTTTTACTATGCATATTAAATACATAATCTAAAATACGTGTGTGTGTGAGTGCGCACACGTGTGTGTTTTCTCCAAAAGAGGGAGCGCCTGGGAGGCAGGCAGTGTTCCTTCACCTCTAAGGACCTGCTGATACTATTTTGCCCTTCCCTGGAGATTCTGCCCGCACAGGGCCACCCATGTGACAATGGGGCCACCCATGTGACAAGAGTTGCCCCTTTTGATATCTACACCAGCCAATAAGACTTTGGGCACCTTCAGTTTTTAAAGTTTGAATTATGAAAATAATAGGGTTTTTTCCCCACTTTTCAAATATAAAATTTAACATTGAATTACATATACATATTTTATTATATTTGCTGTCTAGACTTTAACTTGGTTTTTTAAGAAGTCGCCGCTATATGGGAACCCCACTGGAATGGGTCTTCTCTGGCAGAGAGGGGCTGGATGGGATGCTGTCGCAGGCAGGTGGGGAGGAGGCACAATGGGACAGGGGACTGAGTTTCCGGGGCTGTCTGAGGACTCCCAGGTGGGGGATGAGGTGGGGAAAAGGCTGGATGGTGGAGCGGCAGACACCTGGCTGCCGGGACTGAACCGGCCTGGGGTCCTGAGGAGCCACAGGAGGCTTTACGCAGGGGAGAGCTGTGGTCAGGGCCGTGTTTGGGGACAGTGAGCCTGCTGGCTGTGCAGAATGGCCGGGAAGGAGATAGGACAGGAGGCTGTAACGTGGCCGGGCAGATAGCTGGAGCAGGGGCCTCACCACCTAGTCTGCTCCTCGGCAGGGCGGGGTCCTCAGGTGTGCCGAGGGCCGAGCTCCAGGTGGACTCTCGGGCTTCGCCCCCACCTGTGTTAGTTTTGCTGTGTAACAAGTTGCCACAAACTTAGCAACTTAAAAAGACGTGCACCTGTGGTCTAACAGTTTCCACGGCTCAGGAGTCTGGCCGGGGCTCCGCGTGTCATCCCGGCCGAGTCTCACCTGGAACTCGGGGTCCTCTTCCAAGCTCGTTCAGGTGTCGGCAGGGTCTGGATCCTCGTGGTTGCGGGACCGAGGCCCGTAGCTCCTAGCGGCTGCCCCGCACGGGCGGCGCGCAGCACAGCTGTGTGCCTCTTCAAGGTCAGCAGGACAGGCTCTCTCTGCCTTCAGTCCGTTTCCTCATGGAAGACCTGGTCCACTTTCAAAGGGCTCACCTGGTTAGGTCAGGCCCACCAGGGTACTCTTCCTTTTGAGTAAGTCAAAGCCAGCTGATTAGGGGCCTTAACTACGTCTGAAGAGTCCCTTCACCTCTGCCGTCTTCTGTCCGTTAGAAGCAAGTCTCAGGCTTCACTCACACTCGAGGAAAGGGGATTATGCAAAGTTGGGCTAGTGGGGTGGGGACCCCGGGCCGTCTGGAGTCAAGCCTGCCGCACCACCTCTCCTCTGAGCCCCCCTCTGGTTTCCAGGTGAGCATTCCTTCCCGCTTCGTCCTAGGCGAGAGCTAAGAAGTAAGACGTTCCGAACGCCTGCAGTGTGTAATGCAAGCGAACTTTGACGGTCGCAGAGCTTCCAGACCTGAAGGGCCACAGGTGTCATGTATTTCAGACTACGACACTGGTCTGCTTCATAGGGTAAGATTGTTTTGTTTTGTGTTGTTTAAAAAAAGTAATGTTGGCCGGGCATGGTGGCTCACGCCTGTAATCCTAGCACTCTGGGAGGCCAAGGCGGGTGGATTGCTGGAGATCAGGAGTTCGAAACCAGCCTGAGCAAGAGTGAGACCCCCGTCTCTACTATAAACAGAAAGACATTAATTGGCCAACTAACATAGATATAGAAAAAATTAGCTGGGCATGGTGGTGCATGCCTGTAGTCCCAGCTACTTGGGAGGCTCAGGCAGGAGGATTGCTTGAGCCCAGGAGTTGGAGGTTGCTGTGAGCTGGGCTGACGCCACGGCACTCACTCTAGCCTGGACAACAAAGTGAGACTCTGTCTCTAAATAAATAAATAAATAAAGTGATGTCACTACAAAAAATACAGAGACGAGCAGAGTGTAGGCCACCCTAGAAGTTAAGCCATTTACATTTTGGTTTGCGTCTTCCTGACGATGCACGTCGCAGGGGTAAACCGCGCACTGGACATCTCTGCGCACGCCGCCTGCGCCGCCGCTGGGCCGCGCGGGACCGCCTTCCCGGGCGGGGCGCGGGCGCAACTGCTGGGCGAGCGGCCGCGGGCGTTCGCGGCGGCCCGTGCGTGCTCCCGAAGGCGGCGGCGCGGGGTTTTAGGCCGTGGCCCGCCGGCAGTGTGGGATTTGTTTGTCTCTTTGTCTCTCCAGGGGAGGCCGGAGAGCGGGACGCGTGCTCTGCCAGGCCCGGGGACCCAGCTCCGGGCCTGCGCCCGCCCCGCAGCGCCCCCCAGCGGCCGGCAGCAGAGGCGCAGGAGCTGGGGAGGCCGCTCTGGTTCCCGTCGCCGACGGGGGCGCCCCGGGCGTGTGGCCCCTGAACCGGGGCGCCCGGTTCTCTGGACAGAGGAAGTGTGCCGTTTCGCCCCAGGACAGGGCGTATTTCGGCTTCCTCAAACGCCGCCCGGCCCTCTGTGCCCCTCCACCGTGCACACCGAGGCGCCCATTGACGCAGGCAGCCCCGGTAGGTGGGCTCTGTTGTTATGCCCCGTCTTACGGAGGAGGAAACTGAGTCCCGGAGAGCGCCTCGCGCAGGGAGGGTCACAGAACCCGAAACTCTGGTCTTTATTTCTCTGGTTTTGGTTTTTGCAGGAGCCAGGCCGCCTTTCCTTCACATTCCACCCGCCCCCACGCCGGAGCCCCTTCGTTGCATATAAAACATAAAAGCAGGCAGGCGCGGTGCCCTCTCCCAAGCGCGCCCGCCACATGGGCAGAGGCAGGCAGAGAGGGGTCCGAGTCTCCAGCCTGGGACGCGCCCTGCACACCCCGTCCCTACAGAAAGCCGATACCCCGGGGTGGGTGCCCGGGAAGCTGCCCACACAGCCCTGCAATTAGGGCGACAATAGCAACAGCAGTGTTTGGATGTTTTCTCTTTCACAGGGAGGGCACCCCCTTCGGCTTCCCGGAGCAGCATGTGCAAACGATTAAACCGGTTTGTTTTCTCTGGAGCACTCGGGAGGAAGTGACACTGACATCCCGCGGTCTGATGGCAGCGCCAGCGCCTCCGTGGGAACGGCCGGCAGTTTCTGAAGCTGGCGTTCCTGGGACTGGCCCCGCAGCCCCCGCCCAGTGTGGCCCCGTCCGCGGAGGCCACCCACCCCCACCCCAGAGGCTCGGCATGGCGCCTCCCTCTGGGCTGAGAAGAAGAATGCGGGAGGGCCGGGGCCGTGCCTCCAACCAGGTTGGCGTTTCTAGGGAGGGAAGAGGCCGCTCTTCCTGGCTGCCCACGAGGGCACCACTCTGAGCCCCCAGGGGCCGGCCCGACCCTCAGGTGGGGGAGGGAGGGGCAGGCTCTGTGCCAGGGAGGACGCTGCTCAGGCCAGGATGCCCCTTAGCTCTCGCCTAGGTGGAAGGACAGGCCAGCATCTTCCAGAAGCTTCCGTCAGAAAGGTCCTGCGTCCAGGGTCTCTTCCTCCTGGGCCTTCCTGTGTGTCTAAGCCAAAAGCCCACCTCAAACCTCCCCTCCTCCATCAGCCTGTCACCCAGTCACCAACCCTTGTCCTTGCTGCCTCCCAGACATCTCAGAGTGGGTGGCCCCAATCCTCCCACTCTGTCCTTGTCATGCCACTGCCCCTCCCGCCTGGACACCTGCCCCAGCCTCCGCGGGGCCCCTCTGCGTCCACTCCTAGCCCACAGTTCGTCCTCCACATGGAGGCCAGGGGCCCTGTCCCCCCCGCCACCCAAGCAAATCCCTCCACAGCTCCCCACAGGTGGGATGATGTCTGGACTTCCAGTCCCAGCCACAAGCCCACTCCAGCCGGCTCCAGTCCTCTCTCCCCACCGGCCCAGACAGACAGACAGCCTCTCCCTCGCCCCAGGACTGCACACGCTGCCCTCAGCCAGGAACACCGCGCCCTCCCTGTCTGGTGAACTCTTCGTCCTGCCGGGCACGGCTCCTCAGGAAGCCCGCCCAGATGCCTCAGGCTAGCTCTGGGCCCCCTCTGGGCCCCCGCACATCCCCTCGTAGCCTCAGCCCTGTGGCATCGAAATCGCTCCTTAGAGTTTTGCTGCCCTGGAAGATGGCGCATCCTTTGCGGCCCGGGACCCCGTGTCTCTCCCGGGCCCAGGGCGGGGCCTCGGTGCGCAGCAAGTGCTTGGTAACGTTCGTCCAGAGCCTGGGCAGCAAAGGGGGCCCAGGGAGCACTTACCCATGTGACCACCAGCTCCCGGCCAGGCCCCCACAGTACCCCACTCTCCTGCTGGCCAGAGTCCTGCTGCTGGCTGGGAGGAAGCCACCCATCCACCACACGAGACAGTCACACGGCCACCAGGCTGTCACCCACCCCCAGCTGCATTTGCTCATCTGAAGGGGGCAGTGCTCAACCCCCAAGAACGAGCTTTCCACGGCGGATTCCGGGTGGACATGGGAGGACGCTCAGGGGTGTGCTGGGGCGGTCCTCACGGCACTCTGGGTGCAGCCACTGTACCTTCTAAATAAAACTGGGGCGTCCCTCACGCAAGGACAGATATTCATGTGGCTTCCGCTTGTCTGACGCCATCTAGAAGATGCGGCCATGGCTGGCACTACAGGGCACTGTGAAGTGACGCGGGCAGCGGGGAACACGGGAAAATCAGCCACTCTCACAAACTGGACCCCATCGAGGTATGATTGCTGTGCCGCCTGCCACCAGCTACCCCAAGGGCTGGGGTCTCACTCCCCACTCCCGGGGACAGGCATCTATGTGCTACCCTACCTCCTGGGGACTGGGCTTGGGGTTACTTTCAGCAGAGGGGCTGGTGTGCCCATCAGAAGGGTGGCATGGGGCCAGGCAGAGGGACTGACCTCAGGCCACCCCCCCAACCCTCAGTTTTCTGCAGGGCCCTCAGGAGTGATGTCGTTGGCTGGGGCACACATATCTGCTGTCACCCCAGTTACTGCCAGTGAATGGGTGGGTTGGGAGGTCTCCTGGTGGCCCCAACTGTCAAGGACCACTCTGCTGAACTGTGAGCCGGCTGGGACCCCCCCAATCTGCACCAACACTTTCTGGGCCATTTGCCCAGCCTCTCCAAGGTCGAATGCCTAGGGGGGTCCCAGGCCTTCTGTGTGCCCAGAATCGAGGTATTTAGTTCCCTGGCATCTGCCCCACGTGCCCTCTGGCCAATCCAGGAACCCATGGCCACCCATCCTGCCTCCCCCAGTAGGGCAGGGAGGTGCTCCCTGGCCAGGGTCACACAGCAAAGCTCCTCCAAACACCTGGGTGTCCCCTGGGGCTCAAGATAGAAGGTGGGGTCCAGGCCATGTCTCTGTCCTCCCAGCCCACGCTCCACCCCCCGGGGCCCTGCAGGGTGACAGAGGACTTCCTCCTGAAGACCAGTGCAGACAGATGGGCAGCAGGCCCTGCGTGGCTGCAGTTCTGAGCCAGGTCCACAGTGGGTGCAGGGCAGACGGGCCCCGGAAGTCCAGCCCCGTGGGGGCCCGGCTCCATCTCAACTGCCCTTACTCACCCTCCCACAACCTTTGGGGGCTTAAAAAATGGTTTTATTTCTTAACGACAAAAAGCTTTTTGGTTTTAATACACAAAGTAAATGAGGTCCTTAGCAGGCGCCTGCTCCGCCATCAGGCCCAGCCCCTCCGAGGGTCATGGGCTGCAGTCCCCGGTGGCTGTGGACAGAGGGGCTGTGCCGGGCTGGGGGCGCCTCAGCAGCCCCTCGGGCTCAAGAGTCCAGGCTGGAGACGGGTCAGGAGAGCCCAGCCAGGAGAAAGTCACCTCCTGGGCATCCACCCTCTTTTCTGCTGATGTCAGGCAAGGGCGGTGGGCCGGTGGGCTGGCTGTCAGTTCACGGTGGGCACCTGGCTGTGGTGAAGGCTGAACTCCTTGGCCTTGAGACGGAGGCTGGCGATGCTGTTGGCCATGTTGACTCCGGGGGTCGCCGGGCAGGAGCCCCCAGGGCTGTAGGGCGGCACCGTGCTAGGGGCGACAGGAGACACAAGGACATGTGGGTGTGCTGGCCTGCCGCCTGGAGCCAGCTGCTTCTGGCTGTCCGTCCTTGACCCCAGCGTCTGGTCCTGCTGCGTCCCCTCCTCGGCTTGCTCTCCTGGGAAGTCTCTACCTGGGGCTGGGGCTGGCCTGGGGCTGCAGGATTTGGGGAGGAGTCAGAAGCACCTAGGGTCAGCGCTGGGACAAAGGTGCCTCGCATGGGACCAGGGCTCCAGCAGAGCCACTCACACACACTGAGGGGCAGAGGGCACCTTTGGAGGTGGGGGGTACGGTGGTCCAACCCCCAGCACCTCCCAGCACTTCCTTCCTGCTGGGTCATGTCAGAGCCTTTCTCCAGCTTTGACCCAGACAAAACTGCCACAGGGTGCTGGGGATCTCGTGTGCCTGGGACTCTTCCTGCAGTTTTTCAGCTTCCTCAGGGTGATGCCTGTACATTGTGCCCACTCCAGACATGCATGTGTGCCCCATCCCCACTCCATGCCTTCATGCACACACACTCACATGCATGTGGACACATGTGCATGCACTCACAGTCATGTGTCCACATTGATGAGGGGACACGCACGTGCCCGTGAACATGCACTCGTGGGCACATCCATCCAAACGCCGCTTGGTGGACCCTGGATCCAAGGGGCACCTGGACGCCATCCAGGCTCCTCTCAGACCCTCAGAGGAGTCTGGGCCCTAATGGACCCCGTGGGATCCCTGGCTGTCCCCTCTCCACCTGAAAAGTTCCTGCTCTCACCTGTAGGGTGACGAGGCTGTCCAGGAGAGATAATCGGGACTCAGGGCGGTGGGCCGGGGAGCCACGGGCTGCTCGACGGCGGCCTCCTGGCTGTAGGACTTGAGCAGCGAGGCGGAGCGGTTGGCCAGCAGGGCCCGCTCATTCCGGCGGAACTTGGCACGGCGGTTCTGAAACCAGACCTGGGGGCAGGAGGGCGTGGTGAGCAGGGGGCATCAGACGTGGAGGAGACCCAAGTCCTTTTGGACCTGGGTGTGTGCGTCCTCTGCCACCAACCCTGGGCTGGCAGCTTCATGTCTCCGAACCTCAGTTTCCTCATCTGTAAAATGGGGACGATAGAGGGTGCCAGCTGCTAGGGAAGTGTGTGTTGGAGAACGGGGCCACAGGAATGAACAAATGGGCATGAGCTCAGAGCTGGCGTGGAGTAAGTGCTCGCAACTTTAAAAGGACTTATTTATCAAACCCCTCCGTGCCAGGCACTGTTCTAAGCATTTTACAAAAGTATTAACTTTACCCTATAAAATGCACCCATGCATGGCCAGGCGCGGTGGCTCACGCCTGCAATCCCAGCTCTTTAGGAGGCAGAGGTGGGAGGAGGATCGAGTCTGGGCGACATAGGGAGGAGATCTTGTCTCTCTTAAAAGAAAAAGACCCATGTGATCCTCATTTTACCGGGAGGCACCTGGGGCATAGAGGACTTAAGTAACTTGCTCAAGGTCACACAGCCAGAAAGGTGGGAGGGGCTTGGATCTGATCCGCAGCCCTCCCAGCCTCAGACGATCTTGTTCCAAAACGCCCCACCCCGCAAGTGTGCGACCCCGGGACGGTGGCGGCCGCTCCCAGGAGTGGCCCGGGACGGAGCGCTCACCTGGACGCGCGCCTCGCTGAGGTTGACGCGCCGGGCAAGCTCCTCGCGCACGAAGGCGTCGGGGTAGTGCGTGCGCTCGAACACGCGCTCCAGCGCCTGCAGCTGGCTGCTGTTGAACGTGGTGCGGTTCCGCCGCTGCTTCTTCTTCCGCTTGGCGGCGCCGCCGCGCCCGGGGCTGGGACACTCACCTGCAGAGGGGCGGGAGGGTCAGCGCACAGCGCCTCCAGCGCCCGCAGCCCAGCCCGCCTACCCCTGCGGCCCACCGGGTGCCAACACGCTCCAAATGCAGCCACCAGCTCAGCAGTTTGTTTGCTCAGCGCGCTTTACTTGTGTCGGTCTCCCTCTGCACACGGATGGTCTAGACCCAAGTGCAGGAACACCTCCCTTTAAATGGCTCCCTCATTCATTCCTTCGTTCACCCATCCATTCGTTCATTCTTCAAGATGTATTTTGCTGAGCACCTACTATGTGGCAGGCACAGGGCTAGACCCTGGGGATACACTGGTGACCAAAGCAGCCAGACCCTTGTCCTGTGGAGCCCACAGTCTGAGCGAACAAGGATGGGGGCTATGGCAAGAGCCCAGGGGACAGGCACCCCAGCCATCAGGGACAACTGGCCTGGTCGGGAGGGTCCAGGAGACATCTGTATGTCCCCAGCGCCCAGCCCAGGCTCGGAGGCATGGTAAGCGCTCCATCAACATGAGTTGTTAAACTACAGTGATAATATGTAATAAGAGCAGGAGCCATCAAGGTTCTGAGGACCCACAGGATGCTCATGGGAACCCTAAACACGGGTGCTGTCGTCCTCATCGCTCCTAATTTACAGAAGGGGGAGGGAAGATGCAGAGAGGCCGAGGTCTCAGCCCAAGGTCAAGGTGTCAGTGAAGTCTCTGGTGGAGGGTGGCTTTGAGCCCCCCAGGCAGCAGTCAAAAGCAGCCTTCCTGAGGGCCCCAGGCTGCAAGGGGCTCCGTCCAGCATCCTCAGCACCTGTGAAGCCAGGGGCTGTGCTGGGGGTGGGGAGAGGCCAATGGGGCCAATTGTTCAGCAGGGGAGGCAGCCCCTGAATGGGACATCACAGTGCAAAGTGTGGGCCAGGGCTCCAGAGGATGCTCAGCCCCGGTGGGCAACGAGGAGACAGTCGGGGGAGGTCCCAAAAGAGGTGGTACTTGCGCTGGGTTAGAAGGATGTGCAAGAATTCTCCAACCAGATGGGAGAGGGGCCGGCATCCCAGGCAAGGCCCAAGAGGGTGGGGTGGAAACAGCTGGGTAGTGAGTCCCAGCAGGGGACTTGGCCAAGGGTCAGTGCTGGCCGGGTGGGGGGCATGTCCAGCTACTCTTTCCATATTTAAATTTTATCCAGGGGCAAAACCATCTACCCTTCACCCCCCAGGGCCCAGCCATTGCCCACTCCTCCAGGGAGCCCTCCCTGAGCACCTGTATCCCTGTGGAACCCCCCTTGGCTTCGCTGTGCTCACCTGGCATTTAGAACCAATGCTGCCCAGTTATGTACTTCCTTGGGTGTATAAGTTTTAATTAAAAATGTGTATTTTAATAACAAAGTAATGCCCCTGTTTGTCTCAGTAACAGATTCAAACAACACAGAAGGGTACAATACTCTCCTCTCCCTGTCCCTCCCCACAGTTTACAAGATTACCAATAGAAACTTACAACATTTGCAATCATGAGGTCATGCTGCACATGCTGGTGCTTCAGATTGCCTGGTTATTTAGTAACATTCTGGGTCCCTTTCCATCTCAGCACAACAAACGTAACCCTCTCTCCTGGGGTTGTTTTCCCCAAATATGTTTTCCCTCTTGTTCCCTTCCCTCCACCTGTAGGAACCATTTCTTAAATTAGTTTTTGCTTTCCATCTCCATCACTGCTCCTTGCAAATATAATAAGAGTATGTGTACTATTTTCTTCCCCTCTTCTGTCAAAAGACAGCATAGCACATACCATTCACCTTTTCCCTGCAGTAATCAGCATATCCCAGACTCCTCCACGTCCCTTTTCCCGGCTGCATAGCGCTCCACCCTCCTGCTGTTTATTCAACGAGAGCCCTGCTCACGGGCACTTGGCGTGTTTCCCATGAATAACCTCGTGCAAACATCATCTTCTATTTTTTGCCAATGCGTGTTTGGGACAGATTCCTAGAAGTGGAATTTCTGGGCCAATGAGTAAATGCTAGATATGGCCAAATTCCCCCTGAGGCCTGTACTGTTCTGCATTCCCACCGCTGTATGGGCCTGTTTTGCCCACATTTGGGCCAACAGAGCACATCATCGATCTTGTGGATTTTAGTCCATACCTCATATATTTGTTTCCCTGGTAACACATTCCATTTTTACATCCTATGCACAGCGTTGGGCAATTGTTCAGTTAACTGTTACAGAGCTTCTAGAACATGCCAGGCCCAGCGGGCTCAGCAATGGATACCATTCAATCCCCGCTTTGATTTTATTTTTTAAGTTACGTATACTTGATGTACTAAATCCCTGCTTTTTTCAAAGAGACATTGTCACCCAGGCTGGAGTGCAGTGGAACAATCACAGCTCACTGTAACCTTGAGCAACTGGGCTCGAGTGATCCTCCTGCCTCAGCCTCCCCAGTAGTGGGGACTACAGCTGTGCACCACCACACCAAGCTAACTTGTTTTGGAGTTTTATAGAGATGGCTGGGGTGTGTGTGGAGGTGTTTGTCTCACTACATTGCCCAGGTTGGTCTTGAACTCCTGGCCTCAAGCGATCCTCCTGCCTCTGTCCCCCAGAGTGCTGGGATTAGAGGCAAAAAGCCACCATGCCCAGTCTAACCCCCTGCTTTTAAACAGCTCCCAGGTTAGCAGGGTTTACTGACTCTTAAGTAACCAACTGGTTTGATTTAAGGTTAAATGGTTCTGTGAGACTGGTAAACGATTATGCACAAAGGCAGGGATGGGGGTACAGGTGGTTAGGCAGGAAAGGGGGGTGCCCAGGAAAGATGACCTTGAATCTCAGTGACTCTCAACTGAGGGCAATTTTATCCCGGAAGATATCTGACATCTGGAGACCATTTTGCTTGTCAGGACAAGGCAGGGGCCGGGTGTGGTGGCTCACACTGGGAAGCCGAGGCGGGTGGATTGCTCGAGGTCAGGAGTTCAAAACCAGCCTGAGCAAGACCCCGTCTCTACTAAAAATAGAAAGAAATTAATTGACCAACTAAAAATATATATACAACAAAAAAATTAGCCGGGCATGGTGGCGCATGCCTGTAGTCTCAGCTGCTCGGGAGGCTGAGGCAAAAGGATCGATTGAGCCCAGGAGTTTGAGCTTGCTGTGAGCTAGGCTGACGCCACGGCACGCACTCTAGCCTGGGCAACAAAGTGAGACTCTGTCTCAAAAACAAACGAACAAACAAAGGACGGGGCCGAGAGATCTAGGATCTGACGGTGGAGCCGGGATGGTGCCAGGTTCTCCTCACACAGCACGGCCCCGCGGCAAGGAATTATCTGTCCAAAATGTCAGCGGCTCTGAGGTTGAGAAGCTCTGGTCAAGAGGGGTGACTAGGAGGTGATGTTCAGTATTTTCCCCCTCGGGGAAAAACTTGCAAACACGGGAGACAACTTGGGGTGGGGCAGGCAGGGCGGGAGCTCGCTGAGGCCTGGTCAGCTTCGCTCTTCACTCCTCACTAGAAAAGGCAAAGACGGACGCGAACGCCTGGTGCCTGTGACTGTCTCTCTGTCCCCCACCCCCTGGGTGGAGAAGAAACCTTAAACTGAAGCAGGGGCCCCGCACTGGACACCCGGTGGTGACCGATGAGAGCGGGGATGGAAGCTTCTGGAAAGCCAGCCATCACAGCGCCGGTTTCCTCCCCCCTTCAGGCAATGCCGCTTGGGCACACACCCAATGCAGGAGGCATTTCAACCAAAAAAGGAGACTTTTTCGGGAGGTTTCTGAGCAATGCAAAACTGAGGGTGTTTAAATGAAAACCATTCTGCAGCCTTCGCCTGGCCGAGCGGGCGCCGGAAGAAACAGCTCTGCTCTGGGGCCAGCTAAGCTGTGCGGTGACTTGGAGCCAGAACCCTCACACAAAGGCATGTACCCCCACCCCGCCCAGCCCCAGCCCACCCCGACGCCCGCCGGTGTCCACAGCGAGTCTCAATCAGCGCTCCCCCGGGGGCTCGGCGAGGCAGCGTGGTGGGACGCGCTCAGCCCGAGGGGGCTGGAGCCAGGAGCCGTGCCAAGCCAAGCGCACCACGCACTTCCACCCAGTGACTCCCCGCGCCCACCCTGGGAGGCATCTCGCCATTTTACACACAGGGAAACTGAGGCTCTGGCGGTCTTGCTGAAGGCCAGGCAGCTGGGATAGGAATCTATGTCTGCCGGGAGGCTCGGCCAGCCAAGGCTGTGAGCCCCTCTCCACGGGGGTCTCTTCCCTCATCCGCCTCGCTCCCAGGCCTGGTGACAGAGGGGGTCTGTCACACGCTCAGGCCCAGCTCTCTGAGCCCACAGGTGGGGTCACGGAGATGTCATTAGGAGGGGCCTCCAGCCTCACGTCGCCTTGCTGGATGCCTGTCTCCACCCAGCCCGGGGGAAGTGTGCCCCGTACCCCTGTTCTCAAGGAAGCCCTCACCGCTGGGACGTTCGGGATGGCAGCTTGCTCAAGGACACACCAAGCTGCTCGAGTTGCACTGAGCTGAGCTTAGCTGAGTGCCGAGAGCACGGTAATTGCTGGATAAATGTCCTCTCGCCTTAGCCTCATTGCTTTTGTGCAGCCAGCTTCGTATTGGAAGGCAGGGACCCTTCTCCCTGGTCCTTTAGTCCCCTGCAGCCCAACCTGCAGCCCAAAGACGGGGCTGCAGGCCCCACCATGGGCTGGGCCTGAGGATAGCAGCTGAGAAGGACTCAGACAGCCTCTTCCGGGGGGTCCAGAACTTGAACCCATGGCTTTGACCTCAGCTGGGGGCTGCGCTGGCCTCTGCCTCCGCGCGGATGTGCCGAATATCTGTTACCCCGAGTTCCTGAATCACCTCCTGAGAAATGTGCTGGGGTGGGCGTGTGTATTCCTCCGGGGACTCCAGGCTCGGGCTCCAAGCATTTAGAAAATAAATACGCTTCACGCCCCAGGCCATTGGCGCAGGGTCCAGTCTCTGCACAGCGCCCTCGCCTCGGGCCAGCGGGCGCCGGGCCTGCACCGTCCAAGCCAGGCTGCGC